ACGGGTCAGTTGGGTCATGCCACTCACCTATTTAAAAACAAAAAACAAAAAACAAAAAAACCCAACAGTGTCCCATCACACTTATCATTCACTTTGAATTTCTTTGTTGGGCTGGGCCCCACAAGGAAGGCCCTGAGAAACCTGGTCCCGCCTGCCTCTCCATCACCTCTTGTCTCCCAGCCACACCACTTTCCTCTGAGCCGGGAACTGCTCTCTGCCTCAGGGCTTTTGCACATGCAATTGCCTTTTCCTAAGCTCCCTCCCTCCCCCCTCACCAGCTTCCTAGGGGCTGACTCATTCAGGCTGTGGCTCTCCCGGGCCACCTTCTCAGTGAAACCTCTCCTGACCGCCCGGTTTCATTTTCTTCATCGCACTTACTCCACCACAGCCTCGTTTTGCCGGTTTGTTTACTTGTGTACTGTCTGCCTCGGTCACCGCTGTCCCCTCCGGGCCCTGAGTGGGCCCCTGGCATACACATGGTGCTCAGTGAGTGTTAGTGGAATGAATACCAGGAAATGACTGATTTTTTTTTTCCAGCCACTCCGCTGGCAGAAGCTGTAAAAGCGGGAGGTGGAGTGGCGTGGACAGGGGTGCCTGGAGCCAGGAAGTGGGACCGAGCGTGGGACCGAGCATCACACAACAGAGAACCACCCAACAGGAAGGAGAGCCACGTGGACGGTGTGTGACACCCCTGCTGCCTCGTGCTGAAGGGCACAGCCGATCCCACCCGCCAACAGCGGAGGGACCAGCACCCTCGGCCCCTCCCGGCCCCCGGGGCCTGTGGGTGCGCGGACAACACCCTCCAGGGGGTGGCTTGGCTGGCCTGGCACCCGCTGCCTGCTCTTCAAGCAACTGGACCCATGTCTTCCTTTTGGGGGCTAGCTCTGCCCCACTCTCAGGTCCTACGCTCCAGGTTCAGCTAATGCCCCTCTCAGGGGTGGGGCCACAGGCTCAAAGCTGGCCACTGGTGTGCTAGCTCCCTGGGCACGTGGCTGCCAGTCTAAGTTCTGGCACCAGTTCGCCCGCTCCAGAACCAACATATTCTAAATGGTCATGCTGGAGGACTGTGTTGAGATTCCCCAAATGCTCTGTGGAAAATAATATCCCTCAGGCCTCAGGTCTAACTTGCAGATGGAGAGGTAGACATTATCACCCTCATTCCTGAGGTGAGCCTGGCAATGCAGGCTGGGCCTTTTCAGTGACATGAGCCAAATATCCCCTTTTCTCTTCAGCTGCCTGAGTGGCCCGGCTGTCACCCCCACCCTCTCCCCTAGGGCGGAAGGGATCATCCTTCACTGTCTTCCAACTCTGGCTCCTAGTCCCGGCCCCGAGCCCACCCTGCTCTCTTAGAACTCCCCATCCCCACGGCCCAGAATCCCCTTCTCCAGCTCATCCACCTGATAAACGCTACGCGCCCCACGTGGGTGCAGGTACCGCCCCCCCTGGCAGCTTCTGGCTCCGCACCAGAGGCCACCTGTCTCCTCCCACCACACCCGAGGCTGCTCGGGGAACTTTCTCCCGGGCTGCCCGCCTGGAAGATTTCGTGACGCTTCAGTTGCCATCATCATATTACAAAAACAGGGATTTTTTTTTTTTTTCACTCTTCAAGTACAAAATGATGTTTGAACAGTTCATGTAAATTTCCAATCAATGCCTCCGTCTCCCCCAGAGGTTCTGAATAACCCGCCCCCTCCCCTTCCCGGGGAGCTGTCTGCTCTGCTCTTGATTGAAAAGCTGCAGCGAGGCGTCCCTCATTGGTCCGGCAAACACCTCGAAGGCGGGCACGGTGCCAAGCGCCGGGCACACACACCATGAAAGCGTGTGGCGATCGCCCCTGTGTCTGTGAGCCGGGAGGACGCGGGAGGAGCCTGCCCGGGCGTCTCACCGACACCAGAAGCTGGCCTTGGAGGGGGCTTCCCTGCGGACTTGCTATCGTTTTAAAGTGGGAGGCCACGGGCCATTTGACTTGCCTGGTATTTTCATAACAGTTCCTAGTGGATCATCGGTGTGTCTGTTTCCCTACGAGACGGGAGAGCCCTCGGGGGAGAGGCCGGGGGTGAGTCACCGGGGCCCGGCACTCGGGAGGCCGGGAGACATCTGTGATGTGGTCACAGGGCAGGTGAGTGGCGGGGAACGTGGGATTGTGGGCATGAGGCAGGGAGAGGGGCAGCCGCGCCGCGGACAGCCAGGGCAGGGGAGCCGGTCCTCGCCACAGCCGGGCCCGGCGCGGTGCGGGCAGACCAGACCAGGGGACAGAACACATACGTGTCTGTTGTGGAAGGAGGTCAGCAGAACTCCCAGAAAACAAACTGGGCCCAGCTTTGCAGGAGCAGAAGACGGACAGGGGAGGGGGGAGCTGAGGGAAGCCGGGGTGGAAGGAGCGAGAGGAAAGCAGCATGGGGTTCAGAGGGCCTTGAGAATCAGGCCTGGGGGATGGCAGGTGACGGACGGGTCAGCCCCCCGCAGGGTCCACAGGACGCCTGGGGACGTGGTTCTAGGGGTGCATCCATGTAAGGGGTGGCTGCCCTGCCTTCCTCCTCCCTGTCATCTCTGATCCTTACGGACTGGGACACCGCCCGGTGGTCAGAAGGAGAGGCCCGGGCTGTGGGCCCCCGAGGAGGAGACTAGAGACAAGAGGGGGAGGACGTCACTGGAAACTTCCCGGAGATGTGCTGCCCCCTACCCCCCACCTGGGGCTTGAAGGAGGCCGAGGAGCTGTCCAGGGAAAGGGTGGAAGCTGCTTCCTGGTGGGAAGAAGGACAAGAGCAAGGACACCGAGATCCAAGACCTTGTGCAGAGCCCGAGCCTCCGTGTGTGCTCCGAGGAGACGGGCCGCCAGCTGCTGGGGTGTCTGGAGGACGGGGTGGGAGCTCAACACACATGTCCCGTGAAGGACAGCAAAGAGCAGCCGCCCCAGAGCCTGGGATTATAACCCTGGACCCCGGGCCATCTGCCGCTCATGCTCTCGGTGCAGCCTCGGGTAGCTCCTCGCTCTCCCCTCAGAGCCTCGGCCGCGGCGATGTGTGGACCCAGAGGCGGTCACGTTAGCATAAGGTGACCGGACGTCCCGCTTTTTAACAATGTCCCGCCGTGGGACGTGGGACACATTGTTAAAAAGCGGGACGTCGGGTCACCTTACATTAGCACTGTGCTGGGCACCTAGTCAGCACCCACTAGGCTGTGGTGACGGTTGCCACGGCGAGCCCAGCACGGGGAGGCTACGGCTGGGAGAGCCGTCAGGAGCCGTGGACCCGGATGGCTCTGTGGGTTCCTGGGGAACCAGGCCAGGAGGCAGGAAGTTCTGAGGAGGCGACGCCAGAACAGGGTAAAGGACAGACTCAGCAGGGATGCTGGTCAGGAGTGGAGAGGCCCGTGGGGGGCAGAACCCTGCCCAGGGAACGGCCTCGTGGGCACTGGACAGCAGTCCTGGGACAGCAGCACCTGTCAGGGTCCACACAGGCTGGAGACTCAAATGCTCCCAGACACCAGGCATTGGCCCAGTAGGGCGACGTGTCCATGTGGTCGGAGAGAGCAGGCCCAGTGGGAGGGGCTACAGTCATGGGCTGAATCGTTGAAAAAGACACGTGGGAGCCCTAATCTGTGGCGCCTGCCAATACGACTGCCTTGAAAACAGGGTCTGCACGGAGGAGGTCACGTTAAAATGAGGTCACTGGGGTGGTCCCTCGTCTAACGGCTGGTGTCCTTATAAGACGGGGGAATTTGGATGCAAAGGCAGACACCCACAGAGAGAAGATGGTAGAGGGAGAGGTTGGAGCAACCCATTGACGAGACAGCAAGGATTTCTGCACGCCCCCTCCCTCTCTTCCGCCCTCACCCCCACCCCCACCTTAGCTAGAAGCAAAGAGCCATTCTCCCCGAGCCTCTAGGGAGCACAGCCTGCCGACACCTTGACCTGGGGCTCCCGGTCTGAGACAATACTCTCTGCTGTTTGAAGCCACCGGGTCTGTGGAACTTTCCCACGGTAATCCCAGGACAGCAACATGGCCCACAGATCCAAGCAGGGTTTGTCCGGAAGGCTCCAGAACGGGGAGAGAGGATGCAGGGCTCCCTAGCTCAGCGATCACAAGCCCCCTTTTCTGAAAGAGCGATCCCTTCACCAGCCGAGCTGGGATCCCGTGCGAGGCCCTAATGCTGACCCTCAGCCTTTGGATTTGCACCCACACGTCCACGGGTTCCTCCTGGCCCCCTCCGCTGTAAGGTGAGGGTAACGGGCCAGCCTCCCAGGTGGCTGTGACCCCCAGCAAGACGCGTAGGAAGTGCTTAGCCAGGCGTTCCCTCCTGTGGAGGGCGCGCCCTCTCTGAGCCTCGCATCACCCCCTGAGGGACGGGCAGCATCTGCAAGGGCCCCCTAGGGTTGCCGGGAACTGCCTGGCATGTGGGTGCTGGTGGGAATGAGCCACGAGGCCCACTCAGCCCCTGCGGGTCCTCCACAGGAGGCCTGGGCTCCGGGGCGCCCTTACCTGTGCTGTGAGCTGGATGGGCTGGGACAAGGTGAGTTGTGGGGTTCCAGGGGGTTGGCTGGCAGGCTGTGGTGGTGGCAGGTCGCCTCCCCCAGAGGAGGCTGGGGGCTGCGAGGTCGAGGAGGAGGCAGAGGAGGAGGAGGAGGAGGAGGAAGAGGAGGTGGAGGAGGCGGCGGCGGCAGCAGCAGCAGCATTGGACTGTTGCACGGCGGCGGCCAGGAGCTGGGCCTGCGCTTGCTGCAGGAGGAGCTGCTGCTGAGCTGGCATCAGCGCCGTGAGCTGTGGGGCGGGCGGGGCAGCGGGGGCACAGGGGGCCACGGGGAGGAGCAGAGAAGGCAGAGAAGGGTTAGTACCCGAGCCAAACAGCTGAGGGAGCAAATCTTCCAGGAGGCAGAGGAAGGCGCGAGGCGGGCGGCAGAGAGCGGCCGTGGTCCTGGAGGGACACCACCCAGGCCACGGTCTCGGATCAGGTAGCGGCGACTGGCCTGTGCCCCCGGCCGGTCCTCCCCGAGCACTTACCCCGGCGAGCTGGCTGCCCGTCAGCATGAGCTGGGCCTGGGGCAGATGCGGCTGAGCCGGCTGGGGGGGCGGGGGTGCTGCTGGGGCTGAGTCGCCGCTGGGGTCTTCAGCCTTGATCTGGGGGGGAGAGAGGCAGGGTCCGGGACCCCAGAATGTTAAGTGGAGGCCAGAGAGAATGCCCACCTGCGAACCAAAGAGAGGGCACGAGTGTGGCAACAGCAGCCTCCAGCTGGCACAGGAGGAATGGCCTGGGGTGAGGAGGCCAGACCCTGCCCTGAGTGGCAGGGTGCTCAGGCCGCCACCCCTCGGGCCTGTTTCCTCACCAGTCAGGTGGGCTACCACACTCCCTACACCTACATGCCCCACAGGGAAGGCCACATTTTTTTTTTTAATATATTTTATTGATTTTACACAGAGAGGAAGAGAGAGGGATAGAGAGTTAGAAACATCGATGAGAGAAACATCGACCAGCTGCTTCTTGCACTGGGGATGTGCCCACAACCAAGGTACGTGCCCTTGACTGGAATCGAACCCGGGACCTTTCAGTCCGCAGGCTGATGCTCTATCCACTGAGCCAAACCGGTTTCGGCTAGGAGGGCCATCTTTGAGAGCACGTTTTCCCTGTTGGGAGCTAGTTTCCCTGTTTGTAAAATGAGAAATGAGGTGGGATCTCCGATAAGGTGGTCTGGGTCCCACCGCCCTCATCTGTTCAGACAGAGGTGCATCTCGTATTTGTCCAGTGAGTAAGATTTTATTGGAAGAAAGGCCGAAGGGTAGGAAAAAAAACAACCCCCCCCCCCACGGCTTTAGAACATGGGTCACAAATTCAAATGTAGACAGCACAAACGGGTGAGGTGTGCAGAGGATGGGTGGGCTGAAGAGACTGCCTGCCCGTCCACCCACAGGGCAGGTCTGCCCACCTGCTACTCTGCTCCTGCCAGCAGCAGATTCTAAAACCTAAAGCCAGTTTGGCTCAGTGGACAGAGTGTCGGGCTATGGACTGAAGGGTCCTGGGTTCGATTCTGATAAACGGCACGTGCCCAGGTTGCAGGCCTGATACCTAGTAGGGGGTGTGCAGGACGCAGCCAAGCAATGATTGTCTCTCACGATTGAGGTTTCTGTCTCTCTCTCTGCCTCTCCCTTCCTCTCTAAAATCAATAAAAATATATTTTTAAAAAATAATAAAATCTAAAGCAAGAATGCTGCCGGACAAGGAAAACACACCTGCAGCCCGAGGTGGCCCAGGCGCTGCCAGCTGGCAGTCTGCACTCCCAGGGTCCCTCAGCTCCTCCTCATTTCTCTGTAGGATGTGGAGGCATCTCGCACCAAAAACATAGGGCAGCCCTGGCCGGTAGCTCAGTGGTTAGAGCGTCGGCCTGCTCACCGAAGGGTCTCAGGTTTGATTCCCAGTCAAGGGCATGTACCTGGGTTGCAGGTTCGATTCCCAGCCCCAGATGGGGTGCCTGAGGGAGGCAACCAGTTGATGTGTCTCTCTAACACATGTTTCTCCTCCCCCCACCCCGCCCGGCCCCTTCCACTCTCTCTAGTATCAATGGAAAATGTGTCCTCGGGGGAGGATTAACAACAACACAAAGCGCCTAGGGCAGACCAGCACAACGTGGCCCTGGCCTCCTTCCTCTCCTACACAAACAGCCGGGCAGCGGTGGGCTCGCCTGGGGTGGGGGTGGGGACGGTCTGTTGGTAACAAACACTTGGGGGTGGGAGGGGGCACAGCTTGAGGAATCACACACACTCGGGCCCAGCGGGGGCACCCGGAGCACCTGCCGCCCAGTGTCCCAGGAGAAAAGGTCTGATCCCCGGAAATCTGGGCGTGTTTGTGTCTTGCTTTGGTGACGCAAAGGTACACTGAGGATCATGTGTGTGTCATCTTTCAACTAAAAACAAACAAACAAAAAAAAAAAACTAGCCAAAACCAGTGTGGCTCAGTGGATAGAGCGTCGGTCTGCGGACTGAAAGGTCCCAGGTTCGATTCCGGTCAAGGGCATGTACCTTGGTTGCGGGCACATTCCCGGTAGGGGGTGTGCAGGAGGCAGCTGGTTGATTTATCTCTCATCGATGTTTCTAGCTCTCTATCCCTCTCCCTTCCTCTCTGTAAAAAAAAAAAAAAAAAAAAGAACAAGAAAGCTGGAGTAAAAGTATATAACTAAAAAATAAAATAAAAAACCCTCCCAGCACTGATAGCCTTGGCGAGAACACTCGTCCTCCTCCAGAGCTCTGTCATGCCTCCCGGCTCTCCTACGAAAGTCCCTGTCAGCTGCCAGGGCCGCTCCAGCGTCTCCCAAAGCTGGCCCAGTCCCCTGCGGACCGAGGGCAGGCCTCAGGCGTAGGCCCTTAGACGCAGGCAAGTGTCTCTGGTACGTTTTAATAATCATTGCATTTATTTCCATGGCAAGTGATTTTGGTTTTCCATTTGTGAAATTTCCATTTGAAAAAAACACACACATTTATTTCGGCTGTTGAAAGAGCAAGCCAGTTCCTGAGTCGGTGATTGTCAAAGCTGACTGAGGGGTACCTGGGAGGCTGTTTTCATTGTGTTCTTCTTTCTACTTTTGTATCCGATCCACGTCCCCCCAAATAAAAGTTTTTAAAAAAACTGAGCCTGCCGAAACCGGTTTGGCTCAGTGGTAGAGCGTCGGTCTGTGGACTGAAAGGTCCTGGGTTCGATTCCAGTTAGGGGCATGTACCTTGGTTGCGGGCACATCCCTGGTGGGGAGTGTGCAGGAGGCAGCTGATCGATGTTTCTCTCTCATCCACGTTTCTGGCTCTCTATTTCTCTCCCTTCCTGTCTGTAAAAAATCAATAAAATATATATTAAAAAAAAAAACTGAGCCTATTAACTAAGGTCTGATGTACATTATTGTACCCGATGGGGGTGGCTTTGTCTGAAACCGTGATGGGAGCGTGTGAAGCCTGTAGTTAGGACAAGACCGACGAGAGAGATGGAGGGGGTGGGGAACAGAGGCCCAGGGCGGGGCAGCCCTGAGCTCTCCCAGGGACCAGGGAAGGAGAGTGAGAGCCCCACCACCACCACCGGCTTCACCACAGAGAAACCAGCTGCCTTGGAGCCAGGACGGCTGCACAGACTCAGCTGAGGAAGGAGCGCATAGGGGAGAGGCTCGCTCTGAAGGCCAAGGTCAGAGCCTAACCCGCGATCAGAGGGAGGGAGGTCCCGCTGGGCACCTGCCCACCGAGCATCCTGCCCACAGGGCACCTGGCTGTGGAGGGACTCGGAGGCCACCTCACTGACTGCCAGAGAGGGGAAGTGATTTTCCCCAAGGTCACAGAGCAGCCCCCAGCCCCTCATCATCCTTCTGCCACCTTCGCCCGGATCAGGAGTCCTGCCCACGCCCCTGCCCGCTGGGCTGCCTTCAGGCCTCCGGACCTGCCAGCTGCCCCACCCGGCTGGACGGTGGAGACCTGGGCCCCAGACACTGGGGAAGCCCATCAGGGCCCCAACTGGATTTGGGATTTGCTCTGTTTGGCCATTTCCTGCCTCCCCACTGTCCTCTCCTACAGCATCTGCTCAGAGCCCCAGCCACCCTCACTGGGTCTGCCTCCCCCTGACGCCTCCACCCTCCAACACCCACCCCCTGAGTGTGTCTTGGGGGGCAGAGGGTGGGGTGAGGCAGGCCCCAGTTCAGTCAGGGAAGTTGGGATGGGGGCGGGCCCTCAGCTTCCTGTTGTTCATCTCCCTGGGGCTCTGGGGGGGATTTCCCTGGCCACCCCCACCCCCCAGGGAAGGGGAAGGAGCCCGGGTGAGTCACAGGCCTGGGGCAGGAGCCAGAGGGTGAGAAGCGGTGGGAGGAGCTTTGTCACCGAGGTACCAGGGCTAGGGCCCCCCTCAGCCCGTGACAGGCCTGTGAGACACTTCCAAAAGCAACTGCCACCCAACACCCAGCACCCCCCTCCCCTTGACCTGGCTGTTCTGGCAGGTGCTTACCTTGGTGGTGCCGGGGCCAGTTGGGGACACGGAGAACGGGGAGGTCTTATTCTGGGGGTTCTGAGAAGAGAAAGTTGGGGTGGGGATGGGACCAGTGAGATAAAGCAGCTTCTGACACCTGTCTCCCCCCCACACAACCCCTCTCGCCTCCCCACCCCTGGCCAGTCCACCCCCCTGACCTGGTGGTTAGTGTCGGGTCCATTTCGTTCAGTGTCTGCAACGAGAGGGGGAGGGGAGGTGTCACCCGCTGCCCAGAGGCTCCCACCACCCGCCCTGCCCGCCCGCTGCTGCCCACACACCTGTGTGCTCTGGCGGGGAGTCCAGACCTTGCTTCTCGGCCTCCAGGGGCTTAGACATTCTTATTTCTGGGGACAGAGGAGGACGGAAGTGGGTGAGGAAGGGCGAGCGTGGCCCTTCCTCCAGCTCCATCGCAGCCTCTCTCCGAGCCCCGAGCCCCCTGCCACCTGGCAAGTGTCTCTTTCTGAGAGACATGCCTTCTGCTGGGAGGACAAGCGAGGGGCTTCAGGCCTTGCGGCTCCTGCCTGATCGCTTCCACCCTCGGAAGGTGCACAGGGAGGGCGGCCCAGGGGGGCAGGGTGGGGTGTGGACAGTGGTTGGGGGTCCTGAGATGCCTCGGCTGCCTGGGGGGAGGCTGTGAGGCTCCAAAGGAGAGGCTCAGCGGCGGCCTCTGCTCAGGCGCCGCCCCAGGCCCGGGCGCCGTGCTGCCTGCCCAGGTTTCGGCTGAGGTGTGTTTTCCACTCTGCGCGGGGCCGGGGGCTGTGACGGGCCAGCAGCATCCCCGAAGGAGCTCGTCTGAAGATCTCGGGTGATTCAGCGCTGCCAGCCGCCCCGGCCTCCCCAGCCCACCACTTTCCCTCCGCACCTCACCCCCCCCTTCCACCTCCCCCGACCTCCCCTCTGCCCTGAGGGGCAGCCCCGCTCTGATGGATCTCAGTACCTCCAGCTCCAGGTCCTTCCCGCGCTGCCCCCCGACCTTGTCCTCAAACCTAATCCTAGACCTCCACTGGGATTTCAGTCTTGAATTCCAACTGCATCCCCAAACCCCAGCAAGACACCTGGCCCCTAAAACGCGATCCTTTCCTACAGTTCTGTGGACCCCGGAAACGAAGGGAAGTGGCACGGGGGACACAGTGCCATGGAGACCGGGCCCGTCTGGGCGCTCCGATGCCGGCCAGGGGAACCCGAGTTCTCACCCGTGCCAAGCACCCCACTCACGCCAGTCGTTGGTGCCAGTAGTACCCGCTCTCACAGGGAAGGGAAGGAGGCTCTGAGGCGGTGTCCCCTCCCCAAAAGCAGTGAGACAGGAGAGACCGGACCCCAGCCTCCAGGACTCTAGGCTTCCTGCTTTTATTTATTTATTTATTTATTTTAATATATTTTATTGATTTTATACAGAGAGAAAGGGAGATAGAGAGTTAGAAACATCGATGAGAGAGGGTCATCGATCAGCTGCCTCTTGCACACCCCCTACTGGAGATGTGCCCGCAACCAAAGTACATGCCCTTGACCGGAATCGAACCCGGGACCTTTCAGTTCCCAAGCCGACGATCTATTCATTGAGCCAAACCGGTTTCGGCTAGGCTTCCTGCTTTTAAAAAAGACGTTTTCACTGACTTCAGAGAGGAAGGGAGAGGCGATAGAAACATCCACGATGAGAGAGAATCATTGATAAGCTCCCTCCTGCACGCCCCACACTGGGGACCAAGCCTCTGACCGGGGGTATGGGCCCCGACCAGAAACTGAACCATGACTTGGTTCATGGGTCGATGCTCAACCACCGAGCGACGCCAGCCGGGCAGGGTTTCTGCTTTTAATCATGACCGCTGCAGGTGAATGACCCCCAGACCTGACTTCCCCTGCCTCACCTCCAACAGGCACCCCACCCAATCTCACCCTGACACCGACCCCAGACCAATCAATCCTTTCTGGTTCTAGACCACCCCCACCCCGACACACACACACACACACACACACACACACACACACGCACACACGCACACAAATCTGGGCTTCTGCCTGACTCGTTCTCCATCCCCTGACCCACCCTGGACCCCAACTCCCATCCCAAGAGTCCATGCTCTTCATCTGGACCCAATTCCCAGGTTGGCCTCAGGCCGTACTCGTGACGTTGACTCAGACCCAAATGCGTCTCCCACAGGTCACTCCGAACCCAGCCGCCCCGTGACCCGCCCGAGCAGAGGAGCTGTCCGCCTCTGGAAGGCCAGCTAAAGGGGGAGCTGGGACACCTGCCCAGCCCTGTGCCCTCCTCCCAGCCGGTGCCCACAGTGCTCCAGGGAGAGGTCCAGCCATTCGGCAGCTGGAGATGACCCAGCACGAATGTCACTCGGGGTTAAGGGTCCTGATTACAAAGCCAGGCCACACGCTGCTGGCGGGCGTGTGAATCAATACGAGCACAAGCCAGGGATGCGAAGAGGCGCCCCTCCCCGCGCGTCCACTCCCGGCGTCCCGCCCACCGGTGCCCACGGGGGCACGTGTTCCCAGCAGCCCTTCCTCCAGGAAAGGCCCCGGACTGGGAATGACTCCAGGGGGATGGATCAGCCAACGGTGGTGTGTCCGTCTGCACAGGAAACATGCCACGGCAGGGAAAAACTCCTGCCTCTCGGACCGCCGGCCTCACAGACCTGCCGCCACAGGAAGGATGCCAGGCACGAGAGCGCGCAGTAGGACTCCGGGTACTCGAAGCCCCGAAGGAGGCAAGATGAAATCAGATGGTCAAGGTCGGGGGGGGGGGGGCCTTTGGGCGATGCAGCCTGGAAAGGGCATGAGGAAGGCTGAAGGGGCTGGAAAAGCTCTGCATCGTTTCTGTTTGGGAGCTGACATGAGTTTGTGCCCATGTGAGAGCTTCAGGCTGTACCCTGGGCAGTTTCCCGTAAGTATGTTATGTTTCACACACACACACACACACACACACACACACACACACACACACACACAAAATTCAAAGCCAAAAAAAAAAAGAAGAAGCCAGCACATAGCCCTATTAAGGTTGGTGAGGGTGGGTGGGCAGTGGGTGCCCGGGACAGTATGGGAGCTCGGGCCCTGGACACTGGGCACCGAGTGGCCAACAATTCTGGGACATAAGAGGGCACCAAGGGAGGGAGCTGTGGGGAGGCCCTGCTTCTCAGCCCTTAGCCCTGCTCCAAGCAACAGCTGCCGCTAAGGCAGCCCTAAACTCACCCCTCCTCCATCCCTGACTCCTCTGCCCAGCCCTGTGCCCACAGTGCCCCAGGGAGAGCCTTCCCTCATCCGGCTCTTCCTGGCGTTGAACCCTGCCCTGGCTCCCCATCTCTCCTTGGCCTGGCCGTGGGGTGTGGCCCTGCCACCCTCCACTGCCATCTCTAATCACTCATGCATCACGCCCTTCTACCACACCGGGCGCTCCTGCTGCTTGGGGCTTCTGCTACTCGGAGCGTCCGGGCCTCGCAGGTTCTCTGCTCCCCACCTGGCTGGATGCCTCTCCCGCCACAGACCAGGGCAGCCTCTGACCTCCCCTCCTTCCCACAGAGTCTGTGTTCATCCTTGGCCTTTGCTACGGGCTCTGTCATGTCCCCCAACATTCATAGGTTGCAGCCCTCACCCCCGGACCACAGAATGTGACTGTATGTGGAGATAGGGTCTCTGGATCAGGTGGGCCCTGACCCCATATGACTAGTGGGAAAGACACACACAAAGTGAAGACACAGGGAAAAGACGACCCTCCCACGCCAAGGAGAGAGGCCTCAGAAGGAACCAGCCTTGCTGACACCTTGACCTTGGACTTCTAGCTTCCAAAATTTTCTTTTAAAAAATATGTTTTCATTGATTTCAGAGAGAGGAAGAGAGGGATAGAAACATCAATGATAAGAATCATTGATAGGCTGCCTCCTACACACCCCACACTGGGGATCAAGAACCGTGACCTCCTGGTTCCTGGATCAACACTCAACCACTGAGCCACACCGGCCTGGTAGCTTCTAGAATTTTGAGAAAATTAATTTCTGTTGTTTACGCCGCCCGGTTGTGCTATCTGTTACAGCAGCCCTAGCCAACTGATACGGCCTCTCAGGCTTGTGCCTCCCCGTTGTCCGAGCCCCGAGCTCACAGGGCTGTGGCCACCTGTGTCCCAGTCCTCTCCCACCAGACCAGGATGCAAAGTGAGGTCTGACTCATCCCTGGCATCACCCCACTCCGAAGAGCAGACAATAAATGCTGGCTGCTGTCCCTCCCTGCAGTCTCTCTCTTACTTGTCCCTGCCTCTGTCCTCCTGTCTCTCTGCCATTTACCCAGATTTCCTGAGACCTCGTCAGGACCTGGTCCCTCTGCCTGGAACACTGTCTACCTGGCAGCCTCTTCCTCATCCCTCAGGACCCAGCACAGGATCCATCCTCTATGAAGTCGCCACTCCCGATGCCCCAGAGACTCTCCCTGCCCCCTCCGTCCTGACCCAGCATCCCCTTCACCATGTCCTGGAGGCTATAGCCATGTAGGCCCCAGTATGTCTCCCCCCATCAGACTAGGATCCCCTCAAGGATAGTTCTGTCTTTTCTTTCCCCCCCCAGGCAGATCGCAACACCCAGGCATTCCGCAAAGTAGGCTTGTCACCTTAGGGGTAACCTTGGCCTGCTCAAAATTTTATCTCACGTTAGCAGTGAGGATTGGGGCATCACCCCAAATCGTTATTTTGAGGGGTGAGCAGGCCTGTCTTATCTTGGGGTGCCTGGCACTGCCCAGCACAGGAAATGTGGGTCCCCTACACAAAAGTGGCCCCAAGCCCTGCTCTCCCCGCTCTAGGCCTTTGCCTCTGCTCTTCTCGCACCCGGGCCACCCTTTCCTTCTCCGGCACCAACTCCTGCTCCCCTTGAAGGCCCCGCTCCCACATCACCTCCTCTGTGAGGTTCTCCCTGACTCCCCAGGCGGCCGGTGTCCCTCTCCTCTGGGTGCCCCTGCCCCGAACATACCCTGACCGCCGGAGCGGTGACTCCTGGCCCCAGCCTGTGGACACGGGCTGCCGCCATCGCTGCTCAGGCTGGGCCTGAGACTTTGGGAGGAACACATCCATGAAAGAACCTCGGAGGGACCAGGACCCGATCCGGCCCAAACAAGCCCCTCTCCCTGCTGTCCCCTGGATCAAGCAGTCTAACCTACACCGTTAGGTCACCACCTCCGCAGGGATAGTGGCTGAAGGGGCAAACGAGGTTTGAGGGGACATTTCCACCGCTCTGATTCCTTCGTTCTCCCTAATCCCAACCCCCCTCCTACCCTCCCACCCCCTGCCCTCCACACACACACACACACACACACACACACACACACACACACACACACCACTGCACAGCGGCTGGGCCGATGGCAGAATGGCCGGTGCTGCCTTCACCCAGGCCTCGATGACTCTTTTCCTCCAAGGACGAATAGTGGCCCATTTCAAACAGGAACCCAAAGCCCAACGAGGGCCCCATGGACACCGGCGGGCACCCACCGGCACCCATCGGGAGGCCACTGAGCTGCCCACCCGCAGGCAGCCTGCCCCTGGGCCCAGGCAGGGCGGCCCCGCCCTCTCTCTTGGCTACAGAAAAACTGATGTTATTCCCCCACCAGGCAAGATGTCACTAGGACAAGGTGCAACCTGAGCATCAAGTTTTTAAAAAAAACATATGTTTATTGATTCCAGAGAGGAAGGGAGAGGGAGAGAGAGATGGAAACATCAATGATGAGAGGGAATCACTGGGAATCACTGATCGGCTGCCTCCTGCTCGCCCCACACTGGGGATGGAGCCTGCAACCCCAGGGATGGGCCCTGACCGGGAATCGAACGTTGACCTCCTGGTTCACAGGTCGACGCTGAGTCACGCCGGCCAATATCAGATTTTCAAAAGGCGCCCTCCCTGGGATTCTCATGTGCTCCTGCTGACCCGCTCAAAGCCACATTGGCACAGAAAGTTCAGCTGTTACTTACGGCCACCTTGCCCTCCTCCCCTCCCAGGCAGCGTGTGACGTTTTAGGGAAAGCGGTACAGACCCTGTGGGCCCCTGGATTCCCACCATCCTGAGTCAGACCCACCCAGGGTGCCCACACCCGCTGGCCTCGCCCCAGGCCTGGAACTCAGGCTGCCCTCTGCTCCTCACCCCTCCCCTGCCCCTCCCACCCAACTTTCACTTCTCCTCTGCATTTCCCCCAGCCAGTTTTAGCAGACTTGGGTCAGCTTCTCGTTAGCACTTACCGAAAACGGGGCTAAATATAGAGGGCCCGAGGGCTGCCCCTCACCCCTCCCGGCCTCGCTTGGCCAGTCCCCTGGGTCCCCTGCCTCCTCAGCCCGCTTCAATCAAGGCCTGGCCTGGGAGCCCCTCTGGGCTGGGTCTCGCTGCCGGGAACCTCTGCGGGCCCAGCTGGCCCCGTCCCAGCCTCCTCAGGAACCACACCTCACACCCCCACAGCCCACAGCTGTCCCCAGGCAGCCTCAGGGGAGTGAACACTCTGAGCTGTCAGGAGGAAGGGATGGAGATACGGGCAGACACAACAAGAGCTGTGGCCGTACAGCTGTGCTGACAACAGGTAAGAGCTGCCACAGCGCACACACACCCCAGGCAGGGTCCCAGACACACAGGTGTGCACAGACCCCACACAGGAATGTGTACGGATGAAGATAGAGGCCTAGCCGAAACCGGTTTGGCTCAGTGGATGGAGCGTCAGCCTGCGGACTGAAAGGTCCTGGGTTCGATTCCCGTCAAGGACATGGACCTTGGTTGCGGGCACATCCCCAGTGAGGGGTGTGCAGGAGGCAGCCGATCGATGTTTCTCTCACATCGATCTTTCTAACTCTCTCCCTTCCTCTCTTTAAAATATCAACAAAAAATACATTTTTTTAAAAAAATAAAGGCCCAACATGGGGATTAAAAAAAAAAAAAAAAAGACAGAGGCCCAGACACAATGACACTGGCAGATATGCAAAACACACCAGACGTGAGTGTGCACACCTGCACTTGCTTATACACACACACACCCCGAGTCACACTGAGAGAGCCATTGGCACAGAAGGTTTGGTGGGTTGTTTATAGCCATTCCACACTTACACATCCAGAGTCACGTAAGTACAGACAGATACAGATGTGCACGTACACACCCAGACTCATTCACAGACACACACACACACACACACACACACACATCCAGGTCACTCAGACACACAGACACACAATCACATCCAGGTCACTCAGACACACAGACAGACATGCACATGCTCACCATCCAGAGTCACTCAGACAGAAACACACACACACACACACACACACACACGCACACATCAATGTTCCAGAGTCACTCACAGACAGATATACAGATAGATACAGATGTGCATACACTCACACACCCAGGTCACTAAGCTAGACACACACACACAGACGTGCACACACTCACACACCCAGAGCCTCCTCAGCCTGGGAAATGGCCAGGGTAGACCTGAACCCAGTCCCCGGATGTGCAGCCCAAGACCAGGCAGCAGAGTGATCTGCCCCAGGTCACACAATGCATTCATTCCTGCCACATTGAGGGGGTGGAAGAGAAGCGGGGAGGGGAACCAGGGCAGGCCTCCCGGGCGGGCCAGTTCAGTGCGAAACCCAAGTAAAGGGTCTAACCCCGTGCCTGGCACATATAAGACCCCCATTCAACCTCATTGAGGGATTGGTCAGCTTCTGGGTGCAGATGCCCTGGACGTCTGTCTCCACCATGGATGCGAACATACATACATGACTGCACATATGATCATTTCGATAAATAATCACGTGATCCCGAAACGTGTCTTCCTTCCATCTTAATCCCCTCCCCACCTTTTTTGCCATGCTGACAGCCACTCACCCTTCACATGTCAGCCCAGACATCCCCTCCTCTGGGGAGCCTTCCCTAACACCCCACAGGCCGACCTGGGCAAGTCTTCTGGGCTCCCACAGTCCCCCATGCCACGGCCTCCCAGCCCGGACCCCCCTCCCTGTGCCTGCTCCACTCCCCGGTGACAGATCTATCTCTCCCCCTGGACTGGGGACACCAGCATGCAGAACGGAAGCTGCCTCTCAGCTGTGTTTCCAACACCCGGCACTGAACTGCCGAGTGAATGCGTGTTGGAGAAGGATCCCATACACCGAGCTCCAAAGCAAGGCTCATCCCCACAGACACCCAGAAATGTGGCGGGTACCCACAGTCATGCCTGCATGGTCACAAATAAAGCAGTCACGGAGTATCGGCGCTTGCCGTGTTCCGGGCACTGTATTAGGCACCGGCGTATGGCATATTACCTCCCTTAACTCTGCCATCAGCACTGGCATCATGCAGAGAGAACTATCATTATGCAGAGAAGGACACATTACACCAAACGAGGCAACAAACCCAAATCCTCTTGTGCAGTACCTGGCGATCAATGTGCACTCAGTCAACTTACATGATGGTGGTGGTGGGGTGGTGGGGGGTTATGGGAGCAGTTACTAAGCACAAGAACATATCCTAAAATTTCAGCGGTGGTAAGTGCCATGAAGAAAAAAACAAAGCGGAGCAAGGGGGCTGAGAATGGCGGGATTGGCCTCCAGGAGGAGGTGGCAGCGGAGGCCAATGCAGTGAAGACGTGAACACAGAGATCACTGCCAAGGCCACCCCTACCTACCGCACACACCACAGCCCGCACTCTCCGCACACGCAGACACGACCATCACACTCAGGAGACGGGCGCTACCCCTCTCAGACGCGCTCACGCTAAAGCCCAGCAACTCCATCAGCCTCCCCTCCCACCTGCAGCCCTGACTCCTGCCACCTACCACCCCCTGGTCCTTCCCAGAAGCGCCCACTACCAACCCGGCTGTGTCCCTCCCCAGGAGCCTTCGGGACAGGGCGGCGGAGATGGGGAGGAGAGGTGGGAAGCCCCCAGGTGCCTGGTGCGGGAGGGGAGAAGCAGAAGGAGTTGGAGGGGGGACCAAGGTGGGAAGGGGAAGCTACGGAGGTCCAGAGCGAAAGCAGGCGGCTGAGGAGGAAGGGCAGGGCAGGGCAGGCCCAGCCCTGCGGAGCCGCCCGGAGCTCCCGCTGGGCGCAGCCCTTACCTGGAGCCCCCATGCTGGAGAGAACGCGCTGCCCGCCCCGCGGGGCTGGGGAACAACTGTGTCACCTCCCGCCTCTCCGGGGGCCAAGTCCTCTCTGCCTGCCGGAAGTCACCCCGGGAGGAAACCGCAGGGTCCGCCCCCTTCGGAAGGGAAAATACCCCGGTGGAAGGCCCACCCCTGCAGGCAGTGACCCCAGATCGAGCCTGTAGGGGAAGTGGGGGTCTGGGGCGGCGTGGGCAGGCCGGGGGAGCTGGCTCCCTGCGGTGCCCCAGGTGGTGCCTGCCCCAGCCCCAGCCCTTGTGCCTGCAGGGGCATCTGGAGGAGGCGTGTGGGCCTGGGAGGGAAGGAGGGCCCATGACAACACTGAAAAAAGGGCTGGAAGTTTTATTAGGGGGTGGGAGGGGAAGAAGGCTTTCCCAAAGCCAGGCCCTGCAGTTCCCGCCGGACAAGTGTCCTCTCCTGCGCAATCACTATCGGCCCCTTTTACAGAAGAGAAGACTGAGGGCCAGGGAGCTGGGGGGCGCTTCACGGGAGCGCAGAGCCGGAAAGCGCGGCGGGAGGAGGCGTTCGCGGTGGGTTTCCAGCCGGCTGTGTGCGGGGCGGGGAAACGGGGTGCAGGGGGGGCTGCCGCACACCTGCCGGCAGGTGAGGCGCCAGGGCCTCCCGGAGAGGGAGCGGCGCCTGTGGGTGGTGCAGAGAAGGCGCAGGCCGGGCCTTGCCCTGGAGCAGCGAGGAGTCTGCCGGGGGCGAACACGGCGCCTGAGGCTGCTCCGCGGAGGGGAGCGCGGCCCCGGCTGCCCGCTGGCCCTTCGCGTCGCGGTGCTCCGGGCTGTTCCCTCCGCGCCCGCCAGAGGGCGCCAGCGCCCAGCCGACGGGCGGGAGGGCGGGGCCGGCGCGGGGACGGGAGCCCCTCCCTCCCCTCCCCTCTCCTCCTCTCCCCTCCCCGCCGCCCCGCCTCCGCCCCTGCGCGCACACCTGCGAGGGTCACACAAAGGCGCAGGCCTCCTGGTGCAGGCGGCGGCGCAGACAAAGGCGCGGCCGAGGCGCTGCCCTCCTCTCTGCCGCCCCCCTCGCCTCCCCTTACGCCTGCCCCGGTGCCGGGTCCGAGGCCGCGGGGCTGCTTGGCTCCCCCAAAGATTCCACCAGCCCTCCCCGGCTCTGCCGTACTCACTATGCTAGCCTAAGCTGGGGAACCCCCAAAACACATGTGCGCACAATGACGCCTGGACTCACCATCCCCCGACCCCCGTCACATACAATCAAGTATTTCTGCACATGGACCCCAGCACCTCACACACACGTGTATACACGCAGACACACACACATGCACACGCAGATACACAGAAACACTGGGCAGCGGCTCCAACACCAACCCTCCCTGCCCACTCGCCTGTTCAGACACCCTTCTGCTCCCCACGCTGACACAGGGCACATCTACACATGTGTGCCCAGGCAGGCTTCTGGCTGCGTGTGCTCTCGCTCACACCCATGCACACTCACACAGGCTGCAACACCCAGACTGATCTTCATAGTGCCCTTCCGTCTGCGTGGGCCCTGTGCACCCACATACCCCGTGACCACCTGCAGACAGAGGGACGGTCCTAGCTGCTGTCCGCACTCCACACAGCCCTGTACTGTAAAGGCCATTTCACTGAGGAGAGCCACACCACCCTGCATCAACTCAGCTCTCACTCACAGATGCTGCCTCCTGTTCTCTCTCTCCCTCTCTCCCTCCCTCCCTCCTCTCTCTCCCTCGTTCCCTCCCTCTCTTTCCATCTCTCTCTCTCTCATACAGAATTTCTATACACGAGGGTCTTCTGACAGCAGTCTGGTGGCAGTGGGTTACTGGAACCTTGTCTTAATGCCCATTTGCCCAGGCTGCTCTGTGTTGATTTAGGATTTCTGTTTTGGGGGATTTGGAAATGAGGGTCATGAGGACACTATGGGGGACCCAAACCCCACAAGCCACCCCGACGCTCCACCCAGGACACAGTCACTATCGCCCGTGTGTGGAGCTTGGTTTCGGACATGACCTGGTGCGGCCCTTTCGGGTGAGCAGAGAGAAGCTTCACTCATTTCCAGCTGCCCTCCCAGGCCTGCAGCTCAGTATGGAGCCGGGGGAGCCGGGGAGGGGGGGAAGCCGGGAAAGCCGTGGGATGAAGGCGCCCACCCCGCTTGCCTCTGGTGTTGGCTCCGCTCTCATGGCCTCAGGCAGACCAGAACCGCGTCCCTGAGGAGTCAGGGAACCTTGAAGGAGAAGGGGCGTGAGCGGCCCCCCGCCTGAAGGAGGACAGAGGGGCAGAGTTCGGGGCACTCCGGGGGGCAGGCCTGGCAGCCAGGAATGAGGTGGCCACGCGGGGAGGGTGGCCACCCAGCTGGAAGAGAGGCCTCTGGCTGTATTGAGCCAGACAGGTAGGGCCCAGGCGCAGGGGAGCGGCGGGGGGCTCCAGGGGGTGCCGGGGGCTCAGGCGGGAGGTGGCGCGGGAGGCCAGGCCGGGCTCAGGGCTGAGCGGTAATTAAAGGAGACGCAGGGGGCTCCCCAGGGCCAGCAGGGCCGGTAACTGACACGCGGGCCCCATTGCTCCGCTCATATTTCTCACCGGATCGATACGTTTGACTCCCGACAAGACAATAATCGCTTGTACGCGGCCGGCGAGTCGATCAAATACATTATTAGAGCGAGGTCCCCCAGGGGCCTGGCGGGGAGCGGTGGGGGGAGCAGCCAGCCCACCGGGGACAGTGGAGCAGGATTCCTCACCCCTCAGGGCCCCCTGCCACGGCCTCTTCCCCTCGGCTGCCCCCGGGGACCCTGTCTGCGGCGCCATTCCCCAGCCTCTTTCTGGATGCTGCTGTGTCTGGCGGCATCGCCACCGAGCCCCCGGCTGTGTCCCAGCGCCCACTGGGCTGCGTGGGGACCCAGGGGTCTCCCCGGTAACTGCTGCCTAATCTGTAGGCCTGTCCATGTGGGAGCTCAGAGGCTGCGCAGGCCCCCAGCTTAGCGGCAGGTAGGAGCCTGGGCTTTAGGCCACACGGAGTGGATGGCTGAGCCAGAAGACGAAACTCGGGCCTGAGATTCATTGACAACAACCTCCTTTAGCATCTCTGCACATTGGCTTTCAGCAAGGCCTAGGCCAGGGCAGCCTTTGCGCGGGGGGGGGGGGGGGGGGAGCTGGCTTAGGGCCTAAACACATGGGCAAAGGGATGTCTGGCTGGTCCTGCTACATGGCCATGCCATCCTCCAATGGGCCTCCAGTACTTTCCAATCAAGCCCAGCCTGGCTCGGCCTGGGCACCGCTTGCCCACCTCTTCCCCACCCTGCTGGCTTCTGGGCAGGAGCCTTCATTTCCTGCTTACACACCTGCCTCTCCAGTGGTCCTAAGACAAGGCAAGGTCAAGCTGTATGTGCCCCGTGTTGTGCATAGGAGCACCCAGTATCCGGGGACTTAAAATATCTCAGCAGCGGCATCACTGCCTAGTCCGTGCTAATGGAGCCAATATGTTATTGCTAATCTTCACCACAATCTCAGGAGGCGAGGGTTGTGATCCTCCCCTTTCTACTGGTGAACGGGAGCTCAGAAAGGTCAAGTCACTCAACGCACGTCACACAGCGTGTGAGTGGTGGTGGAGCAGGATTCAAGCCAGGCCTGTCCTCACAGCTTACTCTTTCTCTGCTCCACCATGGGTCTCCACAGAGCTGTGACATGCTCTCTGTCCTCTGGTGGATAGCAGAAAGCCATTCTCTGCCCACTCAGGGACACTGGAACCTCCTCACAGCCCACAGCCCAACCCCCTCTGCCCTGAGAGTCTATTTTTTACACTCAGCAATGCATTGGACTCCTTCTGCTGAAGGAACCCATCAATTCCCCATTTCCTTCCGTTCAAACATTTCCTACGTGCCCCTTCGGGACGAGCCATGGGCTGAGGACCCAGAGATGAGCTTGAACCTGCCTCAGGAGCTCATGGTGTGAGGGGAAGTCTGGAGCTGATGAAATGCCCTGATATTCCATCACTGAGTCAGTAAGTATCCAACAAACGCTATTATGTGCCAGGCCATTGCTAAGCTCAGAGAATACAGTGGTTAAAAGCAAAACAATCAGTTATACCTCAGTAAAGCTGAAAATTTTTTTGAAAAAGCAAAGCAAAGATGTTTTCTCTTCCCCACGTGACTTAGTCTTTTGAGGGGAGGGCAATTTAAAAACGTTATCAAATAAATATGCAATTTCAAGTTGGGAGTAGTGCTTTCAAGAATAGATGTAAGATGGAGGGTACACTTACTCAGCAGTTGGACCACTCATAAGACAAAGAGCGCAGGGAAGAGCGTGCAGGCCATAGGAACAGAGGAGGTGGTGGCCCTGAGACAGCAAGCAACACAGCAAACCTCCTATGTAATAAAAGCCTAATATGCAAATTGACCAAACATTGGAACCACTGGTGGCTATGATGCACACTGACCACGGGGGGGGGGGGGGGGGAAGGAAAGGGTGGTGCGGAAGGTTTGAGGGGGGCGCAGAAGGGGGGAGAGGGGGAGCGGGTGCGGGGGGGGGGGCAGACACTCAACGCAGGAGCTGCACCCTGGTGATCAGTGCCCTCCCACAGGGGAGCACCGCTCAGCCAGAAGCCGGGCTCACAGCCAGCGAGGCAAGGGCGGGAGCCTCTCCTGCCTCCATGGCAACACTAAGGACCCCTCAGGGGATGTCTGCCTGCCAGCTTAGACCCACTCCCCATGCAGCAGACATCCCCCAAGGGGTCTCAGACTGCGAGAGGGTGCAGGCTGGCTGAGGGACACCCCACACCCCCACCCCCCCAGTGCACGAATGTCATGCACCGGGCCTCCAGCTTCAGTGGGAAAATGGAGGCACATCTGGCTGGACCAGAGTGAACGAGGAGGATGTGGCATGTGAAATGGAGAGGAAGGTGGGACAGACCATAGTGCCTTGTAGGGTCAAGCAAGCATTTTGGACTTTACTGTAAGTTCAGTGGGATAACCCTGAGACGGTTTTAAGCCAATGAGTG